TGCCGTTCAACCCAGATACTTTCAAAAATATAATAAAAGCTTACGTCTTCAGCAAAAAAAGAAGCGATAAGAAAATCGACAAAACGTTTGGACTGGATCCGCAGTCAGTTGCTCATTCCTGCTCAGTGAAGTGATTCAACGTAGCCCAGGACTGGCAATTTTCGAAACTGGGTGACAATGCTCAGCAGAAGCTAAGGATGCCCCGAAACGGTTATAGCTTTGCTAGCTTCTTCACTTGGGAAAGCCGCTGAGGTGGTCTGTAAGGGGACAAATGAATGTCCGAACCGCTAAAAAGTTAATTATCAAGGGATTCGACATTGCCTGAAACTACTGGACGTGTTGCTAGCTGCATATTTTGAGAAACAAACTAAAAATTAAATTCGACTCACGTATTGCAATACTTCAAGTATTCTTTGTTAAATTAAATCACAATAATTCGCCTTACAATGGATGATTTTTGTACTCTGCAACTGTTGCTGGTGTCGGCTGAGACATTAAATATTCATGAATTGCAACATCCTCCATACGCTCACGTCTTCGATCTTTACTTCGAAATAACTGCAACATTTCATTCATTAGATACAAATATAGGTTTTTAATTCATAAATCTTCATTATAATAAATCTCAGCTTTTTTTTAAGCATTCCCTAAAATCATCCACAACCTTGGAAGTAAATGCCGTTGGTATGTGCTATTCGAGCTACTTATGATTGTCATTATTTGTCTCTCATAAATGCACAGGAGAATAATGAGAGAGGCGGAGGGGGAGGGGGTGGAAAAGTACTTACTTTGATTGTCTGAGCCCACCAGTCCGGATCAGCACGAAGTCTTCGCATGTCAGATGCTAGAAATTTAGAAGCATATCGAGCAGTTACATCACGCATACCAAATCCTGCAATTAAAGCTGTTTCAGTTTTTATTTGGAAAATAAAACTCACTGCTTTTAAAATAGCTTTGTTTCACCGCTGCGTCCTTTTTCTCCCCACTAAAACTGCAACAACCATTTTTAGTAACTGGGTGGCTGAAGTAATCGAAGAAAAAAAAAAAATTCAGCAGAGAATGATAATATAAAAAAAAGTATAAAGAAATCCACAAAAAATTTTATGGCTTACCGTTATCGATAACAATCACATAATGCATTGGTGCGGTAGCGTCGGCTTCTACTTTTGCTGGCATGTCCACTGTACTGGTCCAGGGATCCATGCCTGCAGACGAATGAACATAAAACATATATGCCTTTTCAAGTATATATATATATATATACACCAGTAAGGGGCAAAAATAAGTCTTGATGTGTTTAATTGTCAAAGAAAAGGAAGCAACACGGAAACAGCATTTTGCTAAGAACAACAGTCCAGGACGGTATGGTCTTCCCGTGTAGAACTCCCAGTGATATTTTTGTTCGAAATTTCATCCAAATTTATATTAAAAAATGATTTAGCTTCTTGCTACGAATAAGGAACACGCAAACACCCAAAGATGAAAAGTGGCAGCAATCTCATCAACAAGGACATGTGAAGTCACAAAAGTCGCGCTTACGATCGGAAAAGTGGCCCGATGATAGTGGAGTTTTGCTGAGCAGGAAAAGAAACCGACTCTCGAACCTAGAATACCAAGTACGTGCAATTGGTCAATTACTGTTGATTTAAAACGTCAGATATAACGAGAAAAATCAAAAAATTCTTAGGAAATCGAGAATGTAGGGAAACATACAAATCCAGTGACCGTCGTTGTCGTCCCAATATTCCA